CGCCTCGCCATGATGGCCATCATCGGCATGTTGCTTGGCAGACCTAAAGCCCCAGTCCTGCTCCAACCGCGGTATTCTGTCTTTGGAATGCTATTGCAACAGGTATTGGTGTCCCTGTATTTGTCTACACGGCAGTGAAGTCCCGTGAGATCCGTCATAAACCGCATAAGAATATTGTCTTTACTTATACAGGGACCCCAAAAGGCGACCTCTGATTTTGAGAAGCTGTCAGTTTTCGGGTTGTAAACAAGGTTTGCAGTCTTAACCTGCATTGAGCCACTCTGCATGAGACCCTCTTCCCCACCCCGCAGCCCTAAACCCTAAAACCAGAAACCCTAAACCCCTTCCGTTCCTAAGCCCTAAACCTAAACCGTGTGCTCAGCATGAGGGCCGGAGGCCTCACCCTCCCTGGTTGAATTTTTTTATCTGCAAAGAGCTTGAGGCCCCAAACTCAAACCCAAAACTTGCCTCACACCCCAAAGCTTAAACCCGAAAGCCTACCTTCTCTCCAACCTAGCACCGAAAAGCTTTGTAGGCCCGTTTGAAAGGGCATGGCTTTGTAATATAGCGGCCTAAGTACCAATATTATGGTTCCATATCCCTTGTATAACTATAGTAGATGGTACCTCGAACGGACCTCCAAAAAAAAAAGGTAATTATTGAGGCCCCCATGGTATAGCCCCTTTCGGGCTTCCGTGCTACTTGGGGGGCGGGCAAACCCTAATCAGGGTAAACCCTCAACCAGGGCAAACCCTCAAACTCTAAAACCCTAAACCCTAGACCCTAAACCCTAAAGCCTGGACCCTAAACCCTAGACCCTAAAGCCTAGACCCTGAGACCCTTCAACCCTAAAAGCCCTAAACTCTCAAACCCTACAAAACCCTACACTCTAGGGTTTAGGGCTTAGGGTTTAGGGTTAAACTCTAAACCCATTGTAAAGGTTCTTCCAGGATGGCCTCACAGGCAGGGCTCCACTTGGCTGAGCTCTAGCCTAAACTCCTTCAAGGGGGTTACATAGGGGCCTACTATAGGAGTTACAAAGGGCAGTATATTAGGGTTATATAAGGGTTATATTGGGGTTATATTAGGGTTATATTAGGATGATAGGGGTTACAAAGGGGGCACAAGGAGTTTAGATTATAGCTCATCTTGTGAAAGTTTACGTGCTTACTTTGTAGTCGAGTACGTAAGTTCTGACTTCTTGGCATCTGCAGAATCCCAGTACATCACGAGGTCAATCTTGTTTGGGCGATGGAACTCGGCAACTAGGTTTAGGGTGCAGGGATTCAGGGGTTTATGCTTGAGGGGCTTAGGGTTTGGGGTCACGTAGAGTGCCTGCGGTGAAGACATCTGAGATAAACGTGCTACCTCTTGCGGGATGACCAGATCCTCTGTCAAGTCAAGCCCTCTACTTATCCGAGCTGCGCTGAACGCTGAGGTTTGTAGTAGGGGTGCGGGTGCGCTTCTTTTTTTCCCGGGAGAGGTTGTGGGTAGAGGGGGATCCTTACAGGTCGTGCAGCTTTGATGTCCAGACTAGCGCATTGACATGTTGTTGGAACCCCTGTTTTATTGGAAGCACCAGTCGTTCATATCAAGGATTACTTCAAATCCAAACCCTGAGCCCAAAAGAGCACCCGGCCCCTCGATTAATGCATCTAGGTGGGCAATTTGGGGCAACTTGTTTACCCCTCTCGTTGTTCAAGGTAACCTCTTCATGACTAGTCTTGGGTGGCTTTCAAAGGTAACACCCGGAAGTTTTTGGCAGGCTCCGCCTGGGGAGACTGGGCGCTGCACCTTGACCTCCAGTTAGTTTCTGGTACAAGTTTTAGGGCTCAGTTTTTAAGGAGGGTTTAGAGTTTGGGTTTTAGAGTTTAGGGTTTAGAGTTTAGGGTTTAGGGTTTTGAGAGTTGGGGTTGGGGTTTAGATGCAAGATTTAGATGTCACCTGCAGGAGAAAGGGTTTTTGGTGAAGCGCTTACCAACTGATAGTTTGGACATGGGAGGCTTAGGATTGGAGTTTGGATCTTAAGGGTATAGTCCCCCCTTAGGTAGATAGAATATGGCTTTGGATATATTATAATAGGATCCCCATATAACCCATATTCTATCTATTTAAGGGGGACTCTATGATGGGAGGCGTAAGGAGATCCTTGTCGTGGGATAAAGGATCCTAGTCAGTAGGCTATATGAGCTACAGTCTACACTCCTGAAATGGGGTTACATAGGGCTTATTAAGGGGGATGCTAGGAGTTTAGACCCTAAACCCTAAACCCTAGAGGTTTCTTAAGAGGGATACTAGGAGTTTAGACTCCCAGCCTGTTCCCTAAACCATAGGCCCTAAACCCTAAACCCTAAACCATAGACCCTAAACCCTAAACCATAGACCCTAAACCCTAAACCATAGACCCTAAGCCCTCAACCCTTTAAACCCTAAGCTCTAAGCCCTACAAATCCTAAACTCTAAGCCCTAAACTCTAAGCCCAAAACCCTATAAACCCTAAACCCTAAGCCCTAAGTCCCTAAGTCCTAAACCCTAAACCCGATAGACCCTAAACCCTAAGCCCCAAAACAGGTACACGGACTCGCCCCTTCGGGCCTTCGAGGGAGAGCTGGGCGTGCCTTGGGCCCGAGGATGCTTCTCTTTTTAAAAGCAAGCCTACAGGGATCTTGAAGCAAGGCTACAGGGATTTAGGGTTTAGGACTTAGGACTTAGGGTTTAGGGTTTAGGGTTTAGCCCTCCGACCAAGCGTCTCGCCGCATTCATTTGACGTGGCCTGCGCAGCACTTTGTGAGGT